GCCCGTCGTATATTCCGTTCCGGGATCTCTGTGGGCACGTGATTTGACGCACGTCCCACCTCCGACGTTAAATAGCAACTACTACTACTACTACTACTGCTACTGAAAGGAAACTAGAAGACGTTGTCTAAGAAGTCGAAAGAATTCAGGTCAGAAGTTATATTCCTGTAGACCTTTCAAGCACTCGTCATTCGTGCTTATAGTACACGCCAGAATATCAGATAAACGCTTTAAATCAACAAATCAACTGAACAGAAGCAGTCCCATCGTACCCAAAACAGAAAGGTAACGCAAATAGTCATAATACTTCAATATAGTAGCAAGAGGCAGAGTATCTCGGCGAGGAAAGAGAGCAAAAACATCTCCTGGAACAGGGTATCCACGTGGTCAGTCATCACGCATTCGAATCACGCTTAGAACTCTTCTTGTTCCTGGAAAAACATAGAGAAGCTGATAATCGTGCCATAAATGAGCAGACCACCGATAATCGACATAACCATCGCAGGAATCTCAATCGCGCCGCTGTGCGCCAGTACTGCGGGGAGAGCTGAGAGTTGTTAGCTTGCTTTCTTATTGAATCAAAGGTATGCTGCTCCTAGCGTTTCTAGAAAGAAAATCTTTAGGATAACGGTATGAGTCGTGCGACGTACCAATACCCATCAGCACCAAGAATCCAGTCAAGAACCGCCCGAAATCAGCCACAGAGTTACCCGAATTGTCGATGAAGTCGTCTGGGTTTGCACATCGGGCGCAGATCCAATTGGGTAGAGGCGCAACAACGTAAGTTGCAACGACAGTCAACGGAAGGAAGTTGTGCCATATGGCCGAGGAAAGGATAACAAGAAGGAAACCGATTGCGAGAATCTAGATAATGCATGTATCAGTATCAGCGCCAAACCAGCAAGTTTAGACAGAGTACATACAAAAGAAAGACCAATAATGGTCTTGAGGCCTGCGGTCATGACTGCAAAGATGGGGACCTATTGCTCGGTCCAGGAGCTGCGGGTATTATGTAGTGAAGGACTGAAGAGTATCGCGCTGCAATGAAAGTACCTTGAAGCAAGTCCAGCTTCAAACAAGATACGAGGGCCCGATAGAGCGTGCAAAGTTCGTCTGCATCGAGGCCGCAGCGAATGGATCAACGTTGCTTAACAGTAACTGCGTCGTTCAGTCTGTAGGGTGACGTTGGCAGAAGGCGGCAGCAACGGGAACTCGGGGAATTACTGCCTGAGGCGCCAAGGCCATAGTCCTAGGCCAGCCTCAGCGGGACTCCAAAGCTCCCCATCATCATCATCACCGCGTTTGCTGCTCGTCGTCTCTATCTCTCGCCTATCCCCCGGCCATTCATCTGTCCTCACTTCTACCGTTCTTGCTATAAACAATTTATCACGTTCACGGCTGTCTAATCTAATCCAGCATCCTTCGTCATGTTCAGAAACAACTACGACAATGATGCGGTCACCTTGTACGGCCCCATTAGCTACCCTATCTATCTAGGAAGCTTCTTAGCAACTGACATTGGCTCTGAATAGCTCGCCGCAAGGCCGGATATTCCAAGTTGAATACGCACAAGAAGCAGTCAAGCAAGGCTCAGTTGTGGTGGGGCTTGTCAACAAGACACATGTTGTCCTGGTCGGCTTAAAGGTTCGTCGGCGTCATAACTACTCTGAGTAAAAAAAAGAGAATAGCTGTATTAACGTTTGCCTCTTGCTAGCGAAACGCCGAAGAGCTGTCGTCGTATCAGAGAAAGATCATCGAAATCGACTCGCACATGGGCGTTGCTATCGCCGGTTTGGCATCGGATGCCCGTGTGCTTTCCAACTTCATGAAGCAGCAGTCGCTCGGCTCTCGAATGACCTACGGCCGTCCTATCCCCGTTGAGCGGATCGTTTCTCAGATCAGTGACCGTGCCCAGCTTAACACCCAGCAATACGGAAGACGGCCATATGGCGTGGGGTTGCTCGTTGCCGGTGTTGACGAATCGGGGCCCCATCTGTTCGACTTCCAGCCTTCGGGAATGACATACGAAATGTCTGCTTGTGCCATCGGAGCCCGGTCGCAGATGGCCCGGACGTACTTGGAGCGGAATCTGGACAAGTTCGCTGACAGCAGTCGGGACGAGCTGATTACACATGGTCTGCGGGCCTTGAAAGAGACTCTTTCTCAGGACAAGGAGCTTACTGTTGACAACACTTCGGTTGGTGTGGTTGGGTTGGCCCCCGAGGGTTCCAAGGGCCGGATCGAGAGCTTTAAGCTATACGATGGTCAGATTATCGCACCACTGCTGGAAGCTCTGGAGCAGACGGAGTCTGGGGAGACTAGAGAGGGGGAGATGGAGGTGGATTCATAGGGTCGATTTATGCCCGTAGATGTTTGCAGATGAAAAGACATGTTACTATCCAGGTATGAATTAAGAATAATGGTGTTTAGATGCGTACAACAAACATTATTTGTAACAAGATTTTCTAGCTTTATCATAAACCATCGAAGGAATAATCTACTCATCACCCCAGTTCAGCTGCATCTGTCCACAACTAGAGTTATACCCAAGGAGCTTCCCCCAAACCTCCTTAACCTCCTTAGCCTCTACCAAAATCTGCGAATTAGCAGGCCCAATATACCCCTTCTCAACCGCATTCTTTACCCACGCCAACAACCCATCCCAATACCCATTAACATTCATCAAAATAATCGGCCGCCGATGAATCCCCAACTGATTCCAAGTAGTCATCTCCATAACCTCCTCAATCGTCCCAAATCCACCAGCAAGTGTCACAAACCCACTCCCCGGACCTCCCTCCATAACTTTCGTCGCCATCAACCTCTTCCGCGTATGCATGTCCGCCGTGATAGTCGTCACCCCATATTCAGACTCCTGCAGCAACGCAGCCTTGCTGATGGGGTCGTTGAGCACACGCTCTGCATCTTTGCCGTGAGACATGGTCTTGTGTTCTTGTTCTTGAGCCTTTTGGGCGTTGTCGTAACCGGGTTCTATGCGGATCAGGGCGCGGGGGATTACGCCGTGGACGGACTCGGGGCCAGATAGGCGCACAAGGGTGCGGGCAATTTCGCCCATTAGACCTGATGTGCCGCCGCCGTAGACGAGTTGGATGTTATGTTTGTGAAATTCGTGGGCGAGGGCGCGGGCGACTTCGAGGTGGGCTGGGTCGTTGCCGGAGACGGAGCCACAGCTATGGTTTTATCAGTTTTGATCATTTGGAATGTTTTAGAGCTGGGGGTGCTTACAAGACGCAGACAACGGCACGCTTGATTTCGCTAGCCATTTTGGATATTATGGTTGTGTAGCAGAGTGTTGACGGTTGTCAGGAAGGTTGGAAGCTGAGAAAATAAAATATTAGGTTGAGGTCCTCAGCAACCCCTCCATCAGCTAGTCACGTTTCACTTGCTACAAAAAAGATGCCACCCCAGCAATTCTACAAGAATTCTAGTAATGAATGACCGTACCAGAAAAGTATAAAACAGATATACGATTATGTGGTTGTGTTCCAAAATAGCTCATAGATCGGATGAAACTAAGATGTCATCCCCGCACTGAGATACAATGCGTTGAAACTCTCTATGGAAGTTGAAAAAGGGTATCTTATACAATTTAAACACCAATCTTACTCTTCTTCTTCCGCAGCTTCTCGTCAGCAACAGGCGTGCTGCCGCCTTTGTCCGACTTCCCAGGCGTCTCAACCCTGACTTGTGGCGTCCCAACTCTCGTAGGAGCATTCGTAGCTGTGCCAGCTGTTGCTGTCGGTAGTTGTAGTCCTTGCTTCGTTTTATCCACATCTCCTGACCGTGACAAGATGAAAGAACCTGGTTCTCCGACTAACGGGCTCTCGTCCATGAACTCGTCGCCATAGCGTGACAAAAGGTTGAATGACTCCGCTAGTGTCCTTGTATCCTGCAATGTCGAGCCAATGTTGCTAGGACCTGTGCCTTGTAGCGATGTCTTGCTTTGTGATTCCCCCTCGGGCATAGGTGTGCTATCTTCTTTGCTTGTCTGGGATTGTATCCCCGGTTGACTCGTCTCGCTCGATTTGATTGTAGGTGGCATATATGTATGTCCATAAGACGGAGTGAAGCTTGGCAGCGTGGACGCCGTCTTCAACAAACTTGTCAAAGACGTAACAGCTGAAAGCTATCCAAAGTCAGCACCAACCCCTGTCCGCAAAAACCAAGGTATCACCTACAATCCGATTTCCAATCACACTTGCCACAGACGGCGCCATATAAATACAATCCCCCATGACAAAGAAAGTCGATAGCACCACAACCTCGTCATCTAGCCCACCACGCTTCCGCCTCGCCTGTTTCCGAATTATCCAGATGTTCGACGGTTCATGCGCAAAGCTCGTCTCAGACTGCGCCGCTGCCTGCAACGGATCGTATGCTACCACGAATTCTAGTCCCTGCATTGTACTTAATCGGCCCTCGAAGGCTTCGCGCGTTTCAACGAAATGGCGGAAGGCTTCATTATAGTTGGCTTGGATGGCGAGGGAGGCGTTGTTGGAAGTTGCGTCAAAGAAGGGGGATTCGGCGAAGTAGAAGAGAACTATTCACACTCGGGAGACTATTAGCTTCAAGTATGGATTGGGCGATTGACAAGGTGTAGTGCATACTATTGTTTGAATGTAAAAAGCCTCCCATCATCTGGACGTGCGGAGGAGACCGCCAGAGGATTTCCTCCAGGGAAGTATCTTGGCCTGTTGCCATTCTGGACGACTCGCTGACTGTATTTCGATTCAGGAATATGTCCAGAAATCAGTGCAATGGATGCGCCAGATGATTTGTAAACTGTTAGTTTGGGGGTTTGGAAAGTTGGAGATAATTCCTCCGCAGGGAAGTGGTGTTTGGTTTGTTTGCATCCAAATATGTAGGTACTGAGACGTCATTCACCTCGAAGTGTACAATAAGTGGAAGGTGGTAGCTATTTCACATGAAAATTCTAGTGTAGGGCTTCAAAAAAAAAAAAAAAAGCTAAAGCCCTCTATATTAATTTAGCTTGACAGTTTGATATTTACAGGGAAATAGCAGAAAATACATACCAGAATGCGAACTATACAATGTCATGAAAGGAACGAGAAACCAATCCTATAACCCTAACGCTAAATGTTGAATCGAATCTCTACCATCTATCCCAATGCAAATATATTCAAATGTTGAAGCCGACCCAAAGTGAACAAATTAGAAAAAAGGAGGCATGATGAAACATAGACATAGAAGTGTAAAAACCTTCACAACCTCCCTCGGCCGTTCGAGTCCAAAGGCGTAAAGATGTTGCAAACAGTCCTTAACTTAGTCAGCATCTCATCCCACTCGCCCTCAGCAGTGCTAAGAGTGGTTACTGCTCCACCAGCACCAATCCGCCATAACTGCTCCTCGTCCCTATCATCAGAGGACGAGAAGGCAGTGCGGATGAGGACGGAAAAGCTTCCTCCACCTCCTAGGTCAAGGTATCCCATGGTACCGGAGTAGATCCCACGCGTCCGATTCTCTATCGAGCTTAGGTGCATGCATGAGCGTTCCTTGGGTGCGCCGGTCATTGAACCGGGAGGGAGGCATCGTTGTAGAGCTGTGAGTCCGTGAACGGCCATATTCGATGTCTGAAGTTGTGGCATGTCCCGTACTGCAGGACCCAGCCGGCATGGGTTGACATCACCCTTGACGTGGGTGATCATTTGGAAAACTCGTCCGTGGTCTTCAACTTCGAGGAGTTTCTCGACGTAGACGTTACCGGAGCCACATATGCCGTAAAGGTCGTGACGGATTAGATCCGCAATCATGAGATTCTCTGCCACTTCTTTTGTTGAACCCAGAATTTCCTTAGCCTTTTCCATGGTCATGTTGCCGGTCTTGCGTACCGTGCCCTTCATCGGTTTCATCTCAAGGGTCGATTCTCGGTCCCAGTTGAGGAAACATTCAGGGCTGCTGCTCACGATCTTGACGTTTCCGAGTTTTGCATAAGCGCTGAATGCTGCGGGATTGTACTTCCTCAGGCGCTTATACAGCTTCCAGGGAAAATTTGCGCGGCCGCTGTCAGTGTTCGGAGATGGTAATGCGATTGACGTTTCGCAGGTTAGGCATAACTCGTACGATTCGCCGGCTTCCAGCTCAGCCTTGCAATCTCCCACTTGCTTGAGATAAGACTGTGAACTGGGAAAAGTAATCTCGCCCTGATCGAGGATGGAGTCTAAGGTTTGCATATCATCCGCGATGATATTATCGTCACCATTTAGGGTATTAGCAGTTAGAAGCTCATTGAGCAACTGAACTGTCTGATCAAGCCAGCCAGCTGGCACGTTGTCAGATTCTCGAGTTGACTGAACAATGAATCGACCCATCTGGTTGTCAACGACAATACTCCGATCAGTCCACAAAAGACTGGCATCCGCAGGGTCCTCAACGGTGGCACCATTGCGCGAAGAATGACCCTCAAAGCCATTATGCATGCCTTCTGCATCCTTCGGGCGTGCAAGGCAAGCAAGGCCCATTTCGTAGGAAAAGTATCCTAAGAACCCTCCCCAGAAGGGAACAGTATGGTCACCATTGTCGACCTTTTTCATCTCCATCAGATATCTCAACGCATCCCAGAACTGAAATGCCGAAAGTGACTTCTCAACGAACGTCGTGTCTTCACGCGATTTCGTTGCGCCCCGATTGCTCAAATCTTCCAGTAATAACTTCCCAGAAGCACTGTAGTATTCCAATCTCCACGAACCTGGACTCGGAACAGATATGATACTATATCTTCCGTTTGACTGGAATAGTACGGTTGGCGAGCCGGGGGTGTTGAGCGCCTCGCATATCGTTTCCGCGGTCAAACCAGCTCGTGAGAATGATCGACAGGCAGACTTTCTTGAAGTTGAAGCACTCCATTTCAACATCGTAAACGCGATAGCCGGAAGAGAAGCCACATCATCCGAGCGGGTAACGAGTGTGTCCGGGAGCGTTCCATAACCCCCACGCCCGGTCCTTTTGTTGAAGTTCAGAACCATTTCCCACCATCTCCTGAGTAATTGATCGCAAGCTTTTCTATCGGATTTGCATGATTCTGGGTGGAATTGTACACCCCAGAACGGTTTGCTCCGGTGGCGAATAGCCATGGGAATCTGCGTTCCCACTTTAGTCTCCGTGTTGTCAATGAACAACCAAGCGAGGAGATCGAGTTCGTTGTCAAGTTTTGTAGGACCAGTTTTCCCTTCAATAGAAGCCTCGTGATTGTCCAATCTAGCATATAATGAATGGTAAAGCGTAACCCTGAGATCGCGCATCCCATCAAAAACATCCTCCCCCGCCGTAGAAATCCGATGAACTTGACCATGCAACGGATACGGCAACCTCCCAATAGGAATTCCATGATGAAGACACAAACTCTGGAACCCTAGGCAGATCCCAAACACAGGTAACATATCTGCCTCGCCAAGGTTCCAGATATCTTTCATAATACCGACGTCTTTCGGAACCTTGGGGTCTCCGGGCCCAGGCCCGAGAACCACAGCCTCATAATGCTGCAGGAATTCTGTGATGTTACCGTCTGGCCATTCCAAGTCGATTGTCATCACAGTGACCTTGACGTTGAGGACTTCTTCGAGCATGGCGACAACATTGTACGAGAATGAGTCGTAGGCGTCGATGTAGAGGATGCTCTTTCTACCAGCATTTTTCTCGATTCTTGGGCATAGAGACTCACTGGTCTCCGGTGGTGTCCAGCTTCCTAGCAATGGTGCCATAGTGCTTACCCCAAGGGTTGCGGGGTATCAGAACAAGGTAGACCGGGCCAGAATGGATGGCAAAGTTAAGGACCCTGACAGAAATTCAAAATATATAGCAGAGGAGCAACAATCCTTGTCCTGCCCTTCAAACTGTTTAAAGACCGACTGGAGCAGCCAGAGGAATCATCGCATCGCAAAAGTCGCGACTCCGAAGTAGCGATGGCGTTAGAATGTCGCGCAAATCATGTAAATTGCTGATAAACGAGTGATTTAGGGTAGCGAGCCCGTGCGCCTTTCCAGTTCAATATTCAAACTTATTATGAGATATAGAGAAACGCAAAAGAAGAATTAGAACGGTAATGGTGGAGAGTACAAAATGATATGCGGGACGACATCGGAGAGTGGAGCGGCAAATAACGGAACCTTTTTTTTTTTTTGCCCCAACTGCTCTATGCCTACTAAATAATAATAACGAGAAAATTTGTCCCTCAATATTGTTCTAATCAAAATCAAACGCAATTGTTCATACAAAGGTGCCGAAACCAACCTAAAAAATCCTAACATGGGTATTCAATCAATCATTATCATAGAATAAATTCGGACATAAATTTCCAATATCCAAATATCCCTCGTCAATTCGTCAAAGCATCAAGATGCAGCTTGGCTAGGAGCCTGCCTCCCAGGTGCGGCAAGTTTAGTCGCAATCTTGGGGAAGTAATGAGCCACAAAGCCCTCGGTATAGTAACTATGCGCAGAGCTATGGTCTCCTACGAGATTATGAGCCAGTTCGTGGCACAAGATCACCCACCAGTACACCAGGGCTTCAGTGGTGTCCTGGCTCTGCAGAAGGTTTGTTTCGTGTAACTGCTGGAAGTAGAAGTAGTTGCAAAAGATGCTTCCGGCCCGGTTGAATGCTATCGTTCGCCCGCCAGGGTCGTAGAAGACATTCATCGTGTTGATGCTGAGGGAGAAGATATCGGCGCACTCGATAAGCACCGAGGCGAATGAGTTGATGCCCGAACCGTTCTTTGCGAGAAAATTGGACCGGTCTCCGAGGTTCTTCGTGAAAAGCAGATTGATTCCGCAAGAGAGTGTGGCAATGAAGTCCAGCTCGTGACTGGGCTTCTCATCACAGTAAGACTTCGTCTCGGTGACCTCACTCGTTTCAGGTCGACTGTAGACGCCAGAAGACCCATGGGGTCGACAGGCTTGAATGGCGGAGATAAGTTCCGAATGCAACTTGTGTGGGGAGTTAACCGCAGGCTGCTCTGGACGGGACGTCTTTGGATCTTCAGTGGAGTACGGTGGCGGAGGCGTGGAATCCCGAGTGGACTCGACAGGGTTTGGCTGCGATGGCCCCTGAGAAAGGAGATTCGAGTTGCGTCCATTTTCCAATCCAAGGCGTCTAGTCAAGTTGGCGAACAAGCCACGTGGGCGTTGTTCTTGCACAGGCTCAGGAGCTTGGGGTCGTGAATCGTGACGGTCATTTTTTTTCGTAGGAGAGTCAGGGAAATCGCCCGGCATCACAGCCTGTGAATTTTCCTCTTCCACCTGGCGGGATTGTGTTTGCTCCTTTGCCCATGCAGCTTCCCTCTCTTGAAGCTGTCTTCGTTCTCCCTCCAGCTGTTGCTGACGCTTGTCCTCTGCTACCTTTGCTTCCTGGGCTTTCTGTTTAAGGATCCGCTCGACGTTGTATCCTCGAGTCTTGAGCTCTAATAGATCAGTCTTCAGCAACATCTCTAACGTGAGTGTCGTATGAAGCTTCGGACGATAAAGAATCAGGTGCACGAGGGCCTGGCTAATCTCATAGAAATCGAATTTCCCGGGACAAATCCACAAAGTCCAGGCCCGCGACTGCAGCTGCGTGACAACGGCACTTCGCTTTTGTGTGAGCGACACACGACGACCCATGAGAGACCGCGTTAGAGATATCGTATTGACAACCTGCACCTGTAGATTCTTCTCAAGCCATCTGACATCATGTCGTATCGTATCCGGGGACTGGTCATGGAGGTATAGCCTTGTGCGTTCGCGAATGAGTTTCTGTAGCTTGGTTGCCGGGCGCTGGTCAGCAGCCATTGATCCCCAACTAGCACGCTCCTCGACAATGGTGCTCAACGGGATGGCTCCCAATGCAAGGTAAAAGTTCTCTAACGCCTCTTCCTGTGGTGCTGCTAGGACATGCTCCTTGAAAAGGTTGAAACTTTGGAAGTCATCTACCACGACAATATCTTTCGCTGAAGCCAAAGTCCATTCTTTAATGCTTTGATCTTCATCGTAGTCATCGTCGTCCGACTCGACAGACTTGTCTTTGCTGGGACTCCGTTGGGCCAAAGAAGAGATATCTTTGCTGGCCAGTAGGAACGGTGCCCTTTTCATCTCCTGGAAGAGTTCCTTGTCCTTCTTCAAAGCCATAAGACTCTCGGAAAGTGTTCTGAGAAGCTTGAGGTACTTATCGGCGCTCTGAAATGTCGAGGATATTCTTGCGGGCTCCTTCACCAAAATTTGTGCCAATTCAGGCTTGGTTGGCTCTCGCTTCGAACCAACTGCCATTAGGAATAAGTTGGCTTCCTGGCCAAAATCAACAAAGTCAAATATGTCCTTGTAGTCCTCGCCATCTCCAAGGTAACAGAGCCTAGGCGCCACGCGTCGAACTTTTTCGCCTTTCTCCACCGTCTCATTTATCCCAACAGGCACTATCAGCGCGCTACAAACGCGATCAATGTCTCGTACGCTAATCTCTGACACTCTTCCAGAAAGATACTTGAAGAGCACCCTCGCGTCTCGCTTCGTGCTTGGAGGCCGTCGGATTAAACGATCAAGACATTCCGTCACGGGAGGATGCTGTCGTACTCCAAACTTGGAGGCGTGTGCTTGAAGATCCTGTCGAAGAATCCTGAAGTCAAATAAAGTGGCACCATCGTCCGTGAAGCATTTTCTCGCCGGACTTAACTCATCCGTACCTTCAATAGGAAGGAACGGGACATCAACCGCACTGGCATCAAAGCTACCGTAACCGTTGGCGTGATACTCGGAAATGTAGTATGCGAGGGCCCTTAAATGAAGAGCTCTATTTCCTTCCAAATTTGCCTTCGCCATGAGCTGTATGAGTTCCGGCGCAGATGGATAGCGCCTCAACCCCATCATATATAGGAATTTAGCCTCATTGCTGGCAGGTTCATACCTTCCAGGCCATTCGATGATTGGAAGTTCGAGGCTCCGAAGGGAAGCATTCGGCTCGTACAGATCAGATATCTTATAACGCTTTTGCGAACTTGTTTTCTGGTCGCCAGGACTTTCAGCGGTGCAGATTCCGGTCTTCTTTAACTTCTGGATATCATTTGTCGGGATGTCATCTCGAACAGAAGCAAGATAGCGCATCAAGTCTACATGGCTCCACTTTGGTTGTTTCTCATTACTTCCTTCAGGTGCTGCAGGGGCATCCAGGAGACGCTCAAAGATGACGCTGAGCTCAACGGTCTTGCGGACGCCAAGATTCGCAAGGAACTTTTCTTTGACACCGTTGAGACCATGCACGACAGGGAGGTCATCAAATAACCGTACAGATGGGAAATACGTCTGCGCAGGATATTTCATTCCAAGCTTCGTCGGAATGACAGTGTGTGACTGGAGCAGACTAATAATAGCCTGTTTCGATGAGTGGCTTAGGCCTTCGAATTGCTTTGACAAAACTGGAAGAACCTGGGCGGCAAATGAGAATGTTCTGGTAATATCATGTTCCACAGGAAGAGAGTTGCGGTTTCCAGAATTCGTGACAATCCAACGTAACCATGGGGTCAGTTGTAATTCCGTCCACCCCAGAGCTTCCAGCTCATGTTTGGGCAAAGACTTGGTGTATTTAAAAGGCAAAACAGACGGTGGTAACGGTAAATCCGCAGGTATCCGTTGGGGGTTCAAGAAGCTTGTTATGTCTGCAAAAACCAACAGTCGTGTAGTAGTCCCATTGTCGTCCTCATCGTTTGCAACTGCCACACTCAGGAGGCTTGTAATTGATTGAATGTCAAGCTGGGCCGAAGCAGCCTTCCGGCCAAGCCATGAAAGAAATTCAACAACCTGTTTGGATTGCAAAGTACTAGATTCCAATTCTCGCTTGATATCTGACACCGTAATGTCAGTCACCAATCCAAAATCTGTCAATTTTCTGACAAAGTCTTTTGCGCCGGACACAAATTCATCCGGTAAGACAGGAATTGTGTCCATAAAGCTAAGGTCTTTGGGAGCTATGCGCGCTTGATGACTCTGAATAATACCGCACGTTGAAAGCACCTCAATAGATGCCTTCTTGTTACATGTCCAGAATCCATCTTCAATTAGCTGTCCCAGCTGTGATAATGGGGTGGACTCGCGGAAAACAAATTGGTTCGCGGTATGAATTGTTTCGGGAAGCACATGCACAATATCGTCCTTGCGAGTCTTCGACAATTGCGATTTCTCTACAACTGATGACAGCTTGGCCTTTATCGACGCCATTTCTGCTGCCCAGGCAACCCGACATACAATACCTGCTGCTCTCAGCATCTCAGTATTCCATTTGCTAATGTATCGAGTGTTAAGATCGATACTCTCCCGCTCGACAGTCGGGATCACAGAGGGAGCGGAAATATGAGCATTTAATCCTGTTGTCTGCTGAGTGGGAAACCCTATGAAAATTCGACCAGCCTTGGATGGTAAGATGGAAGCGAGGACTTCAGACTGAGATGCGGAAGCACCCGACGCCATGCTAATATCATATGAGGGCGTTAAGACGGCAATCGTTGTTTTTTTGGGGGGAGGCTTGCGGGTAGCACGTTCAAGTTCACTGCTCAAAGATGAACTGACAGACGATTGAATTGAGGCAGTATTGGTGTGGAGGAACACTGAAGCTGTCAGTGATTTAGTCATATCCTCCGAGTCGCTAACGCTATTGTGTTTTTCTGTTTTTGCTAGCTTGTCTTTCTCTGGGTTTTGCCCAGTCAGTTTGGAGAAGAAAAAAGAGCGCAACGAGCTCGTCGTATCCCTAAGGCCATCCAAGCGAAACACGCTCGCGTTTGGATTCCACTCGACAATCCGCATCCAAGAAGCGTCGATTTGAGCGACTTCACGGGCGACATCGACAATTTTCATTAGACCCTGGGGCGTCTTAGTATCAATGTCGCGAGGGATCGATAAACTGATGCTCGGTGCTGTCTTTTTTGTAAGACGTAGAAGATTCCAGTCATCTAGCCACAGCTCAATGCATTCGAGACCGACGAACGTAAGACTGGTGGACAAAAATTGGCATAGTTGCAGCAACGACGGAACTGGAGACGTATCATTTCGATAGTCTAAGACGAAGGTTGTCTCTGTATTTGAAGATTCAGTCAATTGTAGTCTTCGGGTAAACAGCGCATTTCCCTTCCAG